GATAAGAGGCGGGCCTGTCTCTCGCCGCCGCGCTCGAGGTGGCAGCGCGGGTTTCGTCTTCACGCGAGCCCGTGGCGTTGGTCCACGGCTAGGCCGGAGAGCTCCCACCGGCGAGGCGTCCTGGCCTTGTTATTCTTTTTTTTTCCCGTCCCGGCACTTCCTTTGTTAGGATCGCCTTGATCCAAGAGAGTGCTATTAATCTCACCCACCCCCCGCGGTCTTCAGCCCCCCCAACCCCCGGGGATGGCAAGATGATCAGCTGAGAAGAACCGAGTTACTCTCACCGGGCATTACGGTTCTTGTGGTGACAGCTGAGAATTGGGGACGGGGACGATCTTGCCTCTGAAGCTGAGTGTTGCCTCATAGCCCAAGTTTGTTTTTGATCAAAGGTTGTCCCATGCAGATAACTTGGAAATATTTGTACGCTAGGGCAACTTCTTATTTTAAAACTTCTTATGGTGTTGAATGGATCTGCTAATCTGTTAAAAGTTCCCTTTTGCTTTTAAGACTTTTTTTTGAAAAAACCAAAATCTCCCAATATTGCCCTATACATTTACACAGTGAAATTAGTATAGTTTTGAACGGATCTGCTAATATTTGGTACCTCCTAAGGTGTCTGAGAGAGAGAGATGGGAGTATTTATCGTAGTTCACATGTTTGTTTATTTAATTTACAGCACTTCTCTGCCCTTTTTCTCCTGGAATGTCATTTGCCAGTGAAGTGTTGTCAAAAGCCAAACAGAAGAGCTGAGGCAGTAGTAAATGTGAATCATCGTAAACTGGCCACCTGATGAAGCTGTCACATGACTGCTGGCATGTGTCAGTCTCTACCCTCACAATTCAGTTTGATGATGTGGATTTGGGCCGCACCCTTGAGTGCTCCAATAATGGATGTAGCGTGACTGATGTTTCACAGAATAATTGTACGTGGGATGCGAGTGCTTATTTTTAAAACCTGGTTCTGCTAAGCCTCTACTTGACCAAACAGCCTGGATGTCTGGATGTTCTTTCCTGTGTGGGAGAAAAACAGCTACTGAGGGGGGCGATTTTGAGAAAAGGAAAAAGACATCTTCCACAATGCTGTGAACCTCCTCCCACTCCCAGCCTTGCTCCTCTTTCGCTTTCGATTGCAGCCTTCATGTCTGTGTGGTGTGAAAGAGAAAGAAAAAAACATGCATTTTGTGTGATTGAGCCTGAAGCTCTAGCTGTTAGGCCTTCGGTGCCTGTGGCAGTTCAGGTATTTAGTTAATGTGAACTGCCTTTGCCTGTCCTGCCCACACCCAAAAGATCATGTGAAAACTACTGCATTTGTCCTTCATTTGGTGCCAGTTGGAGGTTTTTGCAATCGCAAAACGATGTTTAAATGGGGAAACTCCACTTGACGATCGGTTCCCTGCTTTGGGAACCAATTTTTCGCTAAGTGATGATATAAAAACAGCTGATTGGCGGCTCTCAAAATGATTCCCCGCTGTGCAAAATGGCTCCCCCGCTGTGTTAAGGACGGATTCCTCGCTAGATGGGCACCAGAAAATGGCTGCCCTATGGAGGATCTTCACTGGACCGTGAGGTATTTCGCCCATTGGAACACATTGAATGGTTTTCAATGCATTTCAACGGGCTTTTTACTTTCGCTTGATGACAATTTCGTTCTACAGCGATTTTGCTGGAACGGATTATTGTTGTCAAGCGAGGCACTACTGTAATAATAAAAAAGTAGTTGAGTAGTAATTATATAAGTCTAGTAAAATATCAAAAACAAACAAGATTTGAGGATTTCTATCTTATATCTTGTATACAGTACTCTGGAAAACCTTAGAATAGAATCTAATGTACTTGGAAGAAATTTCAAATGCCATCTAATCCAATTCCAAATGTTGCTGATGTAAGAGTTCCACTATTCTTAGCCTCCCTCCCCCCCCCCGCAAATTAGCTATCAGGGTTCTGTTTAATAATAACCTTGCTCTGTTTATTCTCTTTTTTAGCACTCTGCTCAGTTGTTCAGAAAGCTAGTGGTCAGTCTAAATCCTGGTTCTTGTCAGTTCAGGCTGACACCTATTCAACACCTATCTTGCTAGCTTCAAGACATTGTCTACTCTGTCATCTGTAATAGCTTTTTAGATACTGGGACATGGTTATCAGATCACCTCTTAATTGTTTGATCTACAGGGTTAAAATATCCAGGTACTTGAAACTTTTCCTCATATAGCCTGGTCTCTAGGCTCCTTGCCATCTGTGTCGCTTTCCTACTTAAACTGCAGTGTCAGTAACTCTGTATAGTAATCCAGATGAGTTATTGTCAAACTAAAGTTCAATTGTGTCATTTTTTTTGCAACCTGTATTTCTTTTGGTGACACCTAACATTATATTAGCCTTTTTAGCTGTTGTTCCATATTCCTGAGCTGTGTTTTTTTAGTTGCCTACTAAAACCTTTAGAATCTTTTCACATATAGTTGCCAAGTCAAATTTCTTCTATTCTGTATGTGTGCATGTGAGTCCTCTTAGGGAAATAAAGATCTTTATACTTACTTTGAAGGTTTTGTTGCTTTGTCCATTTATGCCTAGTAGTCTAACCTGTCAGCATCATCTTGAATTCAAAATATCAACTTTTGATTAATCTAAGTATTCTGTATGATTAAATCCGGAAGCTTTGCCTGGATGTTGTTTAGCACATCAAGTTGCAGATAAAGGATCATATCTCCAGATGCTCCCTATGGGGGATAAAAGCATGTTGCACACCGGAAAGAGAGTCTGTGACTGAAGTACTCTCCCTCACTTGTTTATATATTTTTGTGCAGGTTGCCATTCTACTCTCTCCCACGGAAAGCGTTAAAAATGCATCCTCTCTTTCCATACACTGCTACTTGAAATACATTCCAAGAAAAGCAAGAGTCTGTTGGAGAGAGAGAGAGAGATCAATTATATATACATATACAGCTTCACGAATTTGCACAACAGGATTTCAGCCATTACGTTTTTTAAATTAAGTGACAATGTTTAAAATCTTACTAATGCCTGCCATAAATTACAAGTGTTGTTTATTTTGTATTTTTAAAATGCGGTATTATTTTGGCATTGCAGTCTGCAAAAGATTGCAAAATGACCTGACAAGGTCATTCTTGGAAAAAAAAACCCTTTAAGTCAGGTACTTGCCAAGATTTGCATATATAAACAATTACTTGTTATAAAATCTGTTTTCAAGGGAGTGTGTGTGATTCCTTACATTTATTTGATATTTGTTAAGATTTCATGTTTTATAACAGAGGAAGTTAGGAACAAAGTGCATTTAATGCAGTAGGAGGCAGTCCTCCCTCTGAGGCAGACCATACAGCTTAGTTGTGGCATTGTGATGCTAAATTATGAAAACCAAGTGCACTAAATTATGAAAACCAAGTGCACTTATCAATATCATTTTTCCCTTTTTGAATCAGTCCTAGTTATGTTACTTATTGGCACCTTTCTTCTAAGAGCAGCAACATAATTCTGCTTAGTTAAAATTCCCCATGCCGTTTCAGATATGATAATATTAACTTGTTTTACTGGGAACAGCGATATAAACTTGTTTTATTTGGAACAGAGCCTTATATGTAGGTGTGTTTGGAACAGGGTGCAAGTACTGTTTTTGAATAATTAAGTGATGTAATGGGCTTAGTAGGGTGTTTAGAAAATGCATTCCAAAATTTCAGGCCTCTCATCATGGCTCCCCTCGTCTCTGTGTGGACCCCTGAAAGGTGGCACTCAGAAGCAACATTCCATGTAGCTGTAGCATGCAACCGGAAGGGAAATTGACAACACCTCCAGTCACAAGTCCCCAGTCAATCTTCCTTTTTAACAGCCACTCGGCCACACTGCTCCTGTTCGTCTTGGGATGGGAGAGCTCGGGGGGAGTCAGATGTAGTGAAGATTATGGAGGTTTGACTGGAGCTGCATTCCTTTCAACACCCCATTCTCCCAAACTTAGAAATCTAGCCAGACAGCTGCTTGGAAGGAAACACATCAGAAAATAATAAAAGCTCATCTACCCTATTCATAATCATACCTGAACAAAGAAATGGCATAGTTCTGGGACATGCACAGAGTGCATTCTCCTGACACAGCTTAATAGGACAGCAAACACCTAGTTTCTCTTTGTGAGAGTCCCTTCAAGGCATTACTGAGCAGCAAGGGAGAAAAATACTGTTCATAGAGACATGCTAGGCAAACTAACTAAGTAGTTTCCTTAATTCTTTACCCGGGCCAATACACACCTGTTGCCAACAACATCCTAAATTCTTTCATGTTCCATCAGGATGAAGAGCAGCTTCATGACCTGCTGCCACCAACCCCGCACCCCCTAAAATCTGCATAACTCTTTGGAAAGGAAGTGGGCTGACACCTTTCAAGTCAGGGTTACCAGTAAGGCATTAGAGTCTTCCTGGGTTGGCTTTGGTATGCCCTCTGATGAAGATAAACATGGAAGCATCTGCCCCTACTCAGTCCTTTCTGTGAAGTGTTCAATAGCATGAAATGAGTTAAATGCGTGAAATGCCAGTTTAAATGCTTTAAATCCTGCCTATTAGGTCAGCTTCTCAGACTCTTCTTGCTCATGTAGTGCTTTTGCTTTTTATTTCAGCTGTTAAACGTTTAATGAAAGAAGCTGCTGAACTGAAGGATCCGACAGATCATTATCATGCACAGCCTTTAGAGGTTAGTGGGTATCTGCTCTGGAAAACATATTTACTACAGTTACGAGTCACTTATAGGCTGATATCCTGTTGTCACAACTTGCGTCTTTGGAATAGTGATGACATCAGTGGCAAGTGGTGATTAGTGGTAATTAAAAAACTTCCTGCTTCGTCCTGTGGTTTTCTGATACCATTGTAAATCTTTTCATTGTGTAGCTGTGGGAACTGTGGAATAGAAGAAGTCTTGAACTATTGAAAGTTTCTTCCTGCTGGAAACATTATCCAGGATTGGTGATTTTGGTAATGAAATGCCTCCTCCTCCCATCCATGGCTTCCATGCAATGAACAGAATTACACAAGAGTCAGGAGAGATGTGGGACATAAATAGGAAATTTTAATTACCAGATATTGTTCTCTGCTTGTTATGTCATCATCCTTCCACAAGTGTGATTTATGCTACAGGATTCCCGCCTCTGTTTTACAATTTCTTCTGTTCAGTATAATTTATGTCGCCTGATTTTTGGGTGTTAAGCTCTTGTTGTGAAATCAGAATAATTGTTCAAGCATTTATTTATGCTTAACCAAGTGGATACTTATTTGCATGACAAATCTCTTTATCTGTTACAGTAGTTGCAGTGATATGAGATTATTTCATTCAGACCTTAATCAAATATGTTTTGAATACTAGTTGTTGGCTGATATATTTTGTTTATATTTAATGTACTTTTGTAGGACAATCTTTTTGAGTGGCATTTCACTGTCAGGGGCCCTCCAGATTCAGATTTTGATGGAGGAGTGTATCATGGAAGAATAGTACTACCACCTGAGTATCCTATGAAACCTCCAAGTATCATCCTCTTAACGGTAAGAATGTTTTGCAGTTGCTGATAAATTAATGATAAAAGCTCAAAACCATTTGGTTAGGCCACCATTAGTAGTGTTGATCACCTGGAATAATATAAAAAAATTCTAAAATGCTATAGAACCTATTTGACAAAACCCCAAGCTTTTGTGCGAAGGACATTTTAATGTTTGAGCATTCTGTGTTGGAATATATAGTTGTACAACCCAGCATTTACCGTATTTTTCGTTTTATAAGATGCACTCCCCCCCAAAAAAAGTGTGTGTCTGAGGAAGTCTGTGCATCTTACGGAGGGAACATTTTATGGAGCGAAGCTGGCAATTTTGTTGCCACTGGCCCTGTGGGGGCGTAGGGGGAGTCTCCCAAGGGTCCGAGTCTGCCTTCCAGGACCGTTGGGAGGCTCCCCCCACCCCCCATGGGGCCAACGGGGGTGAAATCATGACCTTCCAGGACCTTTTCTGAGGCTTGGAAAGGCTCAGAAAGGTCCTGGAAGCTGGCAATTTCGCCACCACTGGCCCCGTTGGGGTGGGGGGAGCCTCAAAAGGGTCTGGGTCTGCCTGCTAGATAGATAAAACAAATGACAGTTATGTTATTCAGTTGTATAGTCTAGTGATAGTGTGATGGTTGTCAATTAGAGATGTCTGTTAGATATCCTCTGCTTATCTGTTACTATGTCTGATAAGGAAGATAATATACCAGTATAGGTCTGTCAACAAAACAGTGTTAATTTATTCTACATATATGTTTTGTAGTAAACATTATTGAATGTTTTTACCATGACCAAGTGAAAATTATTTCAACTGCTGGCACTTACAATGGGACAATATAATTTGTCCTCTTTGTAGTTTTTTTATGCTACAGTTCAACTGCTGTGTACAAACTCTCATGTACATTTCAACATTCTGTTACTGTATTTATCATTTACAGTAAATATGTGGGTTGGGGGGATAGAAGATTTTTTTAAAAATAATTTTTACAAAATAAAAACTAAAGTACAGATTCAATAGTGACTACACACAATGCCCATTGAACTTTCCCCACCCATGCCACCTTCACCCCGGGACTAGATGACCAGTAATATCAATGTATGTCCCTTTTCACCCCATACCTCTTCAAAAATACATTGATTCTTTTGCTGGCATATAGCCTTTCCTCTTCGAAAAGGGATGCTCCAAGTGTGAATTCCATTCACCTTTGAGGGAATAGAAGATTAGAAGCAACATCAAGGTGCATTGAGCACCCAAGGTTATTAGCATGTTGAAAGGTCACATGTGGATAGGCCGTGGCATGTTGGTCAGCAAGAGGTGGTACATCATACTGGTAATGATAAATACATTAACAGAATGTTGAAATGTTGAAACTTGGATGAGTACATGGGGAGTGCATTCTTAGTAACTGATAGGACAGCCTTGTGTTCCATCTGTTCAAAACCAGAGAGCAAGATTTCTAGGGTCAAGTGGCATTTCTGCCTGATTTAATTTGAAGTAACTTGCTCTTTTGGTTAGCATTCTGGAACAATACCTTGATTGACATGGAACAAAGTATGTTATTTTGGTGACCTAGCATTGGCTGAGGATTGGATCTTGAAGGAATCAGATGTGATGAAATTGTAACTTCACACCCTTCCATGTAAATATAATTCTCCACTCTCAAGAAAATTTCATTAGAATCTGTTTATAACAGTTATCTCAAGAGGCCATTTTAATGGAAACTTTTGATTGTGGCTTCATCATTTTTAGGAAATGCCTTGTCACCTGAATGTGGTCAGACCACCCTCTGCTACAGATAAGGAAGGTTTCAGGTTTTCCCCAAAAGCTTTCAGACAACTCTTGAGTATTAGCTAGCACTAACTGTTGATGGGTGACAAGGCATTATTCAGTCGATAAATATTTTTTCATTATATTCATGTTGAATCTTGACTTATGAAAACAGTATAAACATATTTTCTTCTCTCCCATCTGCACATTTAAGGCCAATGGCAGGTTTGAGGTGGGGAAGAAAATTTGCTTAAGCATCTCAGGACATCATCCTGAAACGTGGCAGCCATCATGGAGCAGTAAGTATCAACTTGTGGCAAAAGGCTGTTAGTAAAGAAGTGAAGCCATATGTTGCTATGCTACACTTGACAGTAGACCTCTTAATGTCATTTTTGTGTAATAGTTATACTTCAGACATACCTTGGTCTTGGTAATTCATTAATTTTGCTTTTCCCTTGAATGATTATTTAAAATCAAAATGTTATGTCCAGCAATACATTAATGGGTTAGTGCAACAAAACCTCTTTTTCTCCTCACTTCGGCATCTTCCCAAAGTCTGCTATGGAGACTTGCCTGAGAACAGTTGGGAGAGAGGTTTAAGTGGGAGGGAGAGTCTTATCCATGAATTGGGTCTATTCTGCTGGGTATGATCCACGTTGTTTGCATTTACATTTTGTACAGTTTTTTTTAAAAAAATTGCTGGTTAATTTGGATACTTTCTCTTTTTTTACCTACAGTAAGAACTGCTTTGCTTGCCATTATTGGATTTATGCCTACAAAAGGGGAGGGAGCCATAGGGTCACTCGACTACACACCTGAAGAAAGAAGAGCACTTGCTAAGAAGTAAGGGTTTTAATTTTGCCTTTATTAAATACTTATGTTCCTTATTTCTGGAATACACACACACATACACAGTAATACCTTGCATAGTGCTTTCTTGTTAAGCACTGATTTGCTACAGCACATCTGCTCAGGCAGCCATTTTGTGGTGCTTGATGGGCCCTAGTTTATCTAAAGGAGGTAGACCAAGCCTTGGTTCTTTTCTCTGTTCTCTGCCCAACACCACCCCAACTTTGAGTAGACCTGGCCTCTGGAACTTTTCATAACTGGAGCTCTTGTTCCTTGACATGCTCCCTGTCATTTCCATTGCTGCATCTTTAATCCTAAAGCAGTAACATTTCCCTGGCAAGCTAAATACTTTTCTGGAAGCCTGAGCTCTCTGCCTCTCACATGGGCTTAATGCTTACCTTGTTGGTTTTTGCATCTGTGCCATAAGGCATAATGTTAAAATGACCCTGTTTAGTGCTGACTCAGTTGGTGCTTCTTTTTCTTGGAACATATCTTGACCAATAAGCAGGATAAATTGTTCTCCGAATAATCTTAAGTCAATTAACTTCCATGCCTTTCTATTGTAGCGATAGTGGGAGCAAAATAGAGTAGTGCCCTGGCACTAGATGGACGAGATATAAATGCAATCAGTCTATCGATCGATTGATCAATCAATCAATCAGTGAAATACCTTTGACTTTGTGGAATATTCCTAATGATTGGTTTGCTGTATGGAATATAGTTTTAATTTTTATAATTTTCCTATTAGAAATAAATATAATATACTTGGGTTTCTTCCATTAAAAAAAAAATGAGGCCTGGATTTTTTGTGTAGTCTCTGAACATCCCTCCTTTCTGGAATATGTTGAGATTTCTAAAGGTGCTGGTTTTACACTGAACCTACATTGTCATCATAGTACAAGACACTTTTGCAAATATGATCAAAATGTGCTGCATTATTGAAGCTTCCGGAATCACCAGAGATCACACTGTCCCCTCTGTATTATTATGTGGTTTCTCCCATGTTATATGTCCTGAGTGGTGGAATATGGCAGTATCTTTGATTTTTGCTTTGCTTTCAGCATGAGTTTCCTTATGCTGTGCTATCCTGTATATGTCTATTACTCTGAAGCAGGTCCTATTGAATACAGCCTTGCAGTCTTAAATAATTCGAGAGGTCACATAGAACATATTTGGCATGTCTGCTTAGTTCATCAATAACTCTGTTAGGAAGAATTGAAAACTTACCTGGTATACTGCCCTTATTAACTGTCCTTACGGATCTATTGAAATTTGTATTGTGACAAACTGTATATGTCTATTACTCTGAAGCAGGTCCTATTGAATACAGCCTTGCAGTCTTAAATAATTCGAGAGGTCACATAGAACATATTTGGCATGTCTGCTTAGTTCATCAATAACTCTGTTAGGAAGAATTGAAAACTTACCTGGTATACTGCCCTTATTAACTGTCCTTACGGATCTATTGAAATTTGTATTGTGACAAAAACTGGGATTTGCCTTGCAGTCTTAAATAATTTGAGAGGTCACATAGAACATATTTGGCATGCCTGCTTAGTTCATTAATAACTGTTAGGAAGAATCGAAAACTTACCTGGTATACTGCCCTTATTAACTGTCCTTACGGATCTATTGAAATTTGTATTGTGACAAAAACTGGGATTTTGCATACTTTGCGAAGCTTCATTATTAATTTTCTCCGCATTAAATTTCAGTTTGTTAATAGTCTTCTTTGCATGGCAATAATGTTTAAAACATCAACTTGTAGTGGAATAGTAAACAAGCTTATTCAGAAGTAAGTTCCATTGAACTCAGGTTTGCTATCTTAATGTATTTTTTGCATTACTGGAAATCTTGACCTAAGAAAAAAAGAAACAAAATATCCCCCTCTAGTGGTCGAAGGCAGAATAGCAGTTTCCCATTAGTTTCTATGGACGGAAAAGAGCAGATACGGATCAAATGGTTTTCAATGCATTCCTATGGGAAATGCAGATTTGACTTGAGAACTTTTTGATTTGAGAACCGCCTTCCAATACGGATTAAGTTCTCAAGTCAAGACCCCACTGTATACTGCCCTTATTAACTGTCCTTATGGATCTATTGAAATTTGTATTGTGACAAAAACTGGGATTTTGCATACTTTGGGAAGCTTCATTATTAATTTTCTCCGTATTAAATTTCAGTTTGTTAAGTAAATAGTCTTCTTTGCATGGCAATAATGTTTAAAACATCAACTTGTAGTGGAATAGTAAACAAGCTTATTCAGAAGTAAGTCCTTATTAACTGTCCTTATGGATCTATTGAAATTTGTATTGTGACAAAAACTGGGATTTTGCATACTTTGGGAAGCTTCATTATTAATTTTCTCCGTATTAAATTTCAGTTTGTTAAGTAAATAGTCTTCTTTGCATGGCAATAATGTTTAAAACATCAACTTGTAGTGGAATAGTAAACAAGCTTATTCAGAAGTAAGTTCCATTGAACTCAGGTTTGCTATCTTAATGTATTTTTTGCATTACTGGAAAAAGTATTTTCTCACAATTATTTATTATCTTTTACTCAGAATACAGTGTAAATTTCCCCCTTCGTAAACATGTGTAGAATCAGGCTGAAAATATTCTAACTTGCAAAAAAAAACACCATTTAAAATATTGGGTCTTCTGTTTCTGTGTTTAGAAACAAGCAGTTGTTCTTTATTATAAAAATGCTGCAGAAGAAAATGTGAATCACTTGTGTTTGTACCCTTACCATCAATGCCTCATTGTCTGGAGTATATTATAGAAGCCTAATGTCTGGTAAATTTTACAGTGGGCATCATAGTATATCTGTGCCAGACGATATCATTTCATAAATGTGTAGAAGTTGTGTATGTGTAAATTTGGTGAAATTGTTAAAGGATGTACTAGCTGTTGAAGGCCCTGTTAAAGGTAAAGGTAAAAGTTCCCCTTGACAATTTTTGTCCAGTCGTGTTCGACTCTAGGGGGCGGTGCTCATCCCCGTTTCCAAGCCATAGAGCCAGCGTTTTGTCCTAAGACAATCTTCCGTGGTCACATGGCCAGTGCGACTTAGACACGGAACGCTGTTACCTTCCCAGCGAGGTGGTCCCTATTTATCTACTCGTATTTGCATGCTTTCGAACCGCTAGGTTGGCGGGAGGCCCTGTTAATTAATGCATAATCTTCTGTTATACTACAGGTCTCAGGATTTCTACTGTGAAGGATGTGGATCACTTATGAAGGAAGCTCTTTTACCATTAACATCAGGAAGTGCCTCTAGTGAGGCTGCTGACAAAGAAGCCAAGGAACTTGCTAGGCAAATTAGTTTCAAGGTAGAGTAACTAATTGTGCTTTTCTTCCTCCCAGTGAATAGGATTATACATAGTTAGAAACATTGGATCTGGAGATCAGGTTGTCTATAACATGTACCTGTTAATAAGGATTGAATAAATAAGGTAGACGGGAGGAAAGAGAATTTATACAACATACCTGCTTGGACCTCACCTCTGATATAGCTTTTTCAGGTATTTTGTCCTTTTGTTTAAGGCTGAAGTTAATTCGTCTAGAAAATCTGCTGAACCCACAGATTTGTCGCAGTATAACCACTTGGTCAGTTCACCCAAACACCAGCAAGAAAGTACAACTCCAGCATTCCAGAGCACATCCACCAATGAAGTAGTAAGTGTTTAACAAATCTGAAAACATATATTTTCAGAGACTTGGGGAAAAAAACAAGTTAATATTGCTCAGATGATTCTAGATCTCATTAAAGAATACCCAGGATTTTGGTAAAATTGTTACTTCTACAATTATTTCACTCTTGTAAAAAAAATCCCAAGGTTATTTTCTTTCCTACCTTTCATTGACATCCCTTTTTTTTCTCCAACTGCAAGACCTAGAAGTATATCTACTGATAAGCAAACCCCACTAAGTAAAAGTGGGGCTTACTTATGAATAAATATGCGGAAGATTGGATCCATATAGCTTTTCATTCCTTCCATCTCTCTCTCTCTTGTAAATTACATTAGTGTTAACTTTGCTTATTATTCTCCTCTTTCACCTTTTCTACCGTGTTTCCCTGAAAATAAGAGAGGGTCTTATATTAATTTTTGCTCCCAATCCCCAAAAAATGCATTAGGGCTTATTTTCAGGGGATGTTTTATTTTTTTTCATGTACAACAATCTACATTTATTCAAATACAGTCATGTTATCATCATCTGGTTGCTGCACAATGGTGGAGGGCAGGGTTTCACTTAACTGGGGCTTATTTTGGGGGTAGGCTTATATTACAAGCATCCTGAAAAAATCATACTAGTGCTTATTTTCAGGGAAACAGGGTTTCCGTATCAACATGTTTATACTATGCCTCTTTGCCTTGCGCATCCTGCTTTTGGGTAACTGAACAAATTTGTTCAGAAAACAATTGTACAAGGGATACAGATTTCCCCCCCAGAACTGCACTTGTTTTAGTCCCAAATCCTAAGATACTTACATAAAGCAAATAAATAGAAGCCCTGCACTTTAGTTATTTGCAGCTCCTATTCTATTAAATATGCTTATCATGTTCCTTTTTATTCATAATCTCCAAAGTAAATTTCACCACATAAAGGACAGTATTAATTCTGACCATTTTAAATAATTGTTTGCTTAATTATAACATAGTAATATGCCCAGGGCTCTCTGCTTATATAACCCATCCACAGTAACTGTGGCTTGGTATTGGTGTAGAGCAGCTGCTACTGTGACTGCTGTAGATACAATCTAAATTCACCGATAAATTGTAGACAAATCCCAGTTAAGCTCTCTCTCTCTCTCTTTCTTTCTGTGCGTTAAGGTTGAGGGGAGTGCAGATTGGTTAAAAACATTCATGTCAAATAACGTCACACCATCTGTTGCTTGGCGAAAAGTATTTTCCAGCTATTTAGAAATGTAGGCATGCTAATATTACACAGATTTCCCCAATAGAATTTTCCCTGTGCAGGTATGTATATGATTCTTAATACACTATGTGATTTGAGTTCCTCCCGCCCAGCAAGTTTCATAATTTTTAAAGTGATGCATGTGTAGTTTAAACCTATCACGGCATTTGCCAGAAATAACAATTTTATGTTCGCACTGGGAAGGGAAAAGTTTGAAATAATTGGATTAATCCCATTTTGAATGACATTTTTTATCTAGTAACTCACCAGTTTTGTTCCATTCATGGCAGAGTCTTCAGAATAAATTTGTGTGTAAGACAAAGAAGCTTTAACTTACTTATTTCCGTTTTCTGCATATGATGGATGATTAACTACCTAAAGTAGATTAATATTTTAAGGGATCACAGTGTTGATCTGTCTCTCTCTGCTGATTCACTTAGCATATGTTTGACAAGCTGCCCATATTTCCAAGCACCCGCTTCTCCAGGAGGTGGGCAACTCAGGATGTTTCTTTGATAGCTTCTGCCTCTAGCTTACCACAGCGTGGCTTGGGAAATATTTTTATGATGCCACCTATGGTTTGTTCTGTTACAGATTCTGAAGCGAAAATACTTCCTTGTTTTTCCATAAAAATTGTCAATGTAAATATCTAAGGATGTATCTACACTGATATAGTTCCAATAAATGCCTTAGCATTTTGTTTAATTTTGTTTCATAGTTCCATATTGTAGTGAGATTAATCCGTGCAGATATTTTATATTAGCAAAGGGTCTTATGGCATCCCTAAATATTAATAAGTAGTATTTGGCACATGCTTTAGCTACACTCCACTTCATCAGACAAAGGGAGCTTTCCAGAATCCAAAAGAATGTACCAAATAAAAATGTGTTTGTTTTCAAAGGCATACAAGATTCTTTGATGTTTTCACTGGACCAGATGATCTGCTTGGATATTTTTAAACTCAAATTAATTTTTTTAAAAAAAATACTAGGTCCTGTAACTTGCCCCTATACATTATATTTTAAAAATGCATGCCTTTTGTGCACAGTCTCTTAGTATTTGGATGATACCTTAGAGAAATATTTTTGCTTCTGAGATGTGGAGAGAAGATAGGATTAGGCAAGCAGTTTAATAGCTGGGAAGCAGAGGGTGTGCCTAGGTAATAATTTTATTTCATTTTCCCTTTGAGTTGTGTTCATTTGTTATTATCCTCCCTTATCTGTCCCATTATTTGTCATTGTGTTCCATTATATTAGCCAATTGTACGCTGCTTGTAACTTTGAAATTTATAAAGGATAAGAAATTTGCAGACATCCTGATGATCACGAATATTGACAACTTTCAGACAGATTCAACAGATCCTTATTTTAGAAGGCAATAAAATGCAGAAACATAGCACAGCTTTTAAATCTGTCAATTTCACTGCTTTCTCTTCCCTTTTACATGGGGTTTATCCACATGTCCTTCTTGTTCCTCTTAAAGAGCTGGTTCCATTGCCCATTGTTTCAGATTAGTTTAATGGAGCTGCACTACATTACTGGAGGCTGGAACTGATCCCTTCCACTACCCTTCTATGTCAAGATTATTTTCTTTCACTTGGGAATTCTTTTTTGGTTGTTTTGTTTTGTTTGCAGCCTGGTCCTTTCTAGAGGTTTCAGTCCCATCTGCTTCTTTGTCCCAAACAAGCCCAGCTCCTATGAAGTGTGCATAATTCAAACTCCCCTGCCGTCAGTTGTGATCTGTAGGAGTGAGTGCCTTTCCTTTGCTTCCCTCTGTGAGGGTATTTTATAGGGTATGACACATGCTACAATGAAATCAATCCAGATTCTCCCTGGCTCCTTCATTTACTCTTTGACAATTATGGTCTGTTTCTTTCTGTATCCCCATTAGTATTAACAGATTAACACATTCTGCTGCATTAAAACAGCTGCATTTCCCTACACTATTAAATTAGTGCACTAACTGTGAGAATAGTGCATTTTGCCGTTTCTATGAAAGCCCATTCAAGTTAGATGCCTGTTTATTCTTCTGTTCTTTGTCAAAAACTGAACTTGCCAAACCCTGTAATTTTGTACAGTATTTTTCATTTCCATTCCATTAAATTCAGTTTTTCTCTTTTCTTAGTCTGAAAATCAAGCCAACTCTGCCACATCGAGTCAGGAAAGCAATCCTCAGCCTGTGGCAAATAATACATCTGTAAGTCCTCGCCATCGACGTGCCCAGCAAGGAAGGGTACCAACTTCAACCAACTTCAACCAGGTTCAGCAGCCAAGAGTCAATGCAAGCCACATGGGTTCAAATGTCCTTATTCTTCTTCTTGTTCTAGCATTAGCTGCTCTTATATTTAGGCGTATCTATTTAGCTAATGAGTATGTATTTGAGTTGTAAGTTTCTTTTATTCTTCAAAGCAGTGATTTAGATGGTTTATTCTTTGCTGGATAAGAGGCTTGTTTACATACAATTACATTTTGTATTTACTCGTTTTAAGTCTGTTTGTTAATGTACCACAGAGTACATTAATATCTGCAAGAAATTCACATCTTGTTAATGGTGTGAGTGTGGGCTGGTAAATATCTGGACAAACTGAGCAGATAACCAGATATGTCATGTGGGAATTCTGTTTCTGAATTAAGAGGACATTTGAGAGAGCAATTACTAGACATCTTTTGTGGATAGTGTTAACTGACTGAAACCTAAATTTGTGGTTTTATGCCAGCATGAATAATTATTCTTAATGATTATAAAAGTTTACGTGAAAAGGGCCATCCTAAACTGAAATGCAGGTATGTTCGCATAGCAACTGTTATTTAAATTAAACAGAGAGGAGGCATTATTATTTTGTAAGAACATTTTTTCCTAAACTACTAATTCGGGAAGCGGGGGTGATTCTTTATCCTCAGTGAAAAAGAGGGGCCAGAAATAGTTTGCTTTCCTTGTTTGGTTTTAATTGTCAAGAAGATAGGATAATCTTTTGCAAGATTTGAATGTCAGGTTTTTTTTATATTCAGTTGTGTATATTTTGCTTTTTTTTAATTTAAAGATTCTGGAAATAATTATAACTTTGTGTAATTTACCAAAACCTTTTGACTATGATTTGATTCAGAAATATATACAATACATTAAATTTACTGTTTCATGTGCTATTGATTAAAACAAAATAAAAAGGCATTTTCAAAACTCATGAACAAATATATAATTGTGTCTTATATTTATATTTTAATCCCATGAGCTCCATTTGAATTGCTCTGATGATTTAACATTGTTGAGTTAGCAAAGACTATCACTGTTTTCCTGAAGCAGAAGAAAGTATCCTTGAGTGAGTTGTTTTTTCCACTCATACCAGTAGACAGAGCTTAGGAAAATCAACCTTGTGTATATTGTGATGTGTGGAAGAGAAATGCTCGTTTCAGATTCTGGTCCTACTTAGTGCCTCAGTCAGCACCCCAGTGCTGCTAGAGTCCTTGAATATTTCTGTGAGAGGATGCAGTGAGGAAAGGAAGGTCATGACCTTCAGAAGAACACGCATAAAAACTACATGCCTTTCACACTCTCTTCTGTCCAACCTATAAACCCATTTTGTTGCCCCGGCAGTTATAGGAAAATCTCTTCAAAATCTGTCAATCACTGCAAGAAACATATTGGTACAACATGAATCAGCTTTGCCAGATTTCTGTCTGCTCAGAAGCATGATAGTTGAAGAATTCTCTAGTGAAGAAGTCAATAAAGAATTTGTTTTAATAAACAGTGTTAGACCTTAACTTTCCTCAGAAATGCAAAAGGGTCAGCTGCCTAGTGAAGAAACTGAAAAACTCTACAACTTTTTGTAGCGATCAGCCCTGCCCTCTCCTGTCTGTCACAGCTGATCAGAGGAGAAGGAGCCTATGAGTGGACGGAAGGCGGTGCCAGGGGGAGGGGTTTTGATATAAAAGGCTGGTGTATGGAGTATGAGAATAGTTCATTGAGTGAGTGAGAGACTGTGAAACTTAAGAGTGAACTAAGGGCGATTGAGAGATCTGTGAGAATGCTGAATGGTACAGAGAGTGGATAGAGCTTTAAAGCGAAAGTAGTACTGATTCAGTTTCAAGTGATTAGCAACCTGTGATTTACCTACTGTATATTAATCAGATGTTACCCTCCCTGCTCAAATAAGTTAAGTTTCAAAAGTACACATGTCTCCTTGAGTGAATGGTATTGAGACTGCAATACCTGGTGGCAGCGAAGAAAGAAGAAGAGTGAGAACCTTGTGAAGGCCTGGGGAATAGGGGCTTCAGAGGAGACCGCCACACCTTTTTCTATGCAGAGTTCTATTTAGTTTTTTTTTTAAAAAAAAAAACCCTCTATTTTATGAATGTTCTGCTTTTGTATTCACAATTCGAAACACCAGGAAATGGCACAAGATTGGGCCCGGGATGCCAGCAAGAACAATACCAAGCTTTACATTGCAAAGGACAGCCTGAATGCTGACAACACCAATGGCAGCAATCAAGGTGATCTACACAAGCTACTCTCTTGCACCAACCACCATTCACACGTGTCGAAAAACAGTCCTGACAATTGCTTTGTATTTGGATGAGAAGTGATTAATGAAAAAAGGAGATCTTTTCTGGGGATTTACTCTTGCTTGGTGTCTTTTTCTGAATGGTAGTGAGCGCAAGAAGGTTTCCTGTGTAGACCATCCTAACTACTACCATTGGTATTGTCAACATTCAGACTACCCTTCACTATAAGGTTTCCTGTGTAGACCATCCTGACTACTATCATTGGTATTGTCAACATTCAGACTACCCTTCACTATGTAACGCTTTATCCTGCTGGTAACCGGGACATGATAATTTGCAACAATATCAGGTCATTTCCTGGTATTTTGAATTGTGGATACAAAAGTGTAATATCCCACATTCATGAAATGGAGGTTTTTTTTAAAATAATTGCATTTCCTGGCTTTTTAAAACAGATGTTCAAGTATACATACACACAAATTCCAACAGAAACCTCCCTCAAGTAGAATTACTCAGTGTTAGAGAGTCCTAGAAGATAAGCACGTGAGCTGTACTATGGCTGCTGGGAGAGGACAGAAGCAAGAACAGCTGGGATGTGACTATACCCTCTGTGCCAAATATTTTGAAGGGCTGTTTTGGACTTAATGAAATGGCGAAGTGAAGGTGTGAGTATGTGCAACAGGTATACCTTTTAACCTCTCAGATAAACTAATGTTGCCATGCCTGCTCCACAGAATACAGACCAGAAAACCATATTTCTGTTTCCAAACCTTTTCTATGAGGTAGGCAGCCTGAGGAAGAAAATTAGACAGAAAACTTCATGAACATATTGTGGGCATGCTTTCCAAAAGTAGTCCCTTTGCCTTTTCAAATTAAAAAAGGGGGTAGAGCTTGTAGTTAGCAAAGACTATCACTGGAAAGCAAGGTCAAAATCATCCATTCTGTGTAAAAGAAAGACAATGAAGAAAGATGGACGGGGGAGTTTAACTCATTTGAACTATGATGTTGAAGGAGAGCCTTACAGATACAACATGCCACCAGAAAGGCAGATAATTGGATGCTCAGTCAAATCAAGCCTGAATTCTCATTAGAACAACAGTGAAGCTATCATATCTTGCACATATAATGAGAATACAGTGGTGCCTCGACTTACGAACGCCCCTACTTACGACTATTTCAAGTTACGACCAGCTTCGGCCGCAAAATTTTGCTTCAACATGCGACTGGAGCTTCTACTTATGAACAGAAAAAAAGGCAGGGAATAAAGGCGGGAAATTCAAATTGCTAACTGTAGGTGGTGACAAGGCTTCTTCTTTGTAGTTCTTTCATCCCAACAGTTAGAGAGTGCATCCTCGGAGGAGACTTGGAATTGTCTGCTTCTGAGTGAGTGAGTGAGTGAGTGAGTGAGTGAGTGTGTGTGTGTGTGTGTGTGTGTGTGTGTGTGTGTGTGTGTGTTTGAGAGTGTGTGTGTGTGTTTGTGTGTGTGTGTGTTTTTGCAGGGAGGCTTTGGGCTGCCTTGTAAGGTGCTGTTTTCTGCTTTTAAAAAACTTCTGGGTATTTTTGCAGCGTGGTTTTGAGCTGGGGGTTATGTTTCTGTGCTGTGATGGGTCTTGGGTTTGTTTTTTGGTTTCCCCCATTTCTGATGGGTCTTGGGGGGTTGTTGCTTTTTGTTTTTTCCCATTTTCTATGGCTCTTGGGAGGTTTGTTTTTTGTTTTTCCTATTTCCGATGGGTCTTGGGAGGTTTGGTTGCTCTGGTTTTTTTTCCCCATTTCTGATGGGTCTTGGGGGGTTAGTTTGTTTTTTGGCTTCCCCTATTTCCAATGAGTCTTGGGGGCTTGGTTGCTTTTTGGGTTTTTTCCTCATTTCCAATGAGTCCTGCATGCTTCCCTTGCTTTTTCCTGTTTTCTTTGCATTTCTGACCTGTCCCCTTTGTTCTCTGTGCATTTCCTATCTGCTCCGTTTGTTTTATGTGCATTTCGAATGAGTCTTGCACACTTGATTTTCTTTCCCCCCCTTCCAATGAGTCTTGCAGTGATTTTTTTTGGTGATTTTTTTCTTCGGCTGGAATGGATTAATTGCATTTTAATGCATTCCTATGGGAAATGGTGCTTCAACTTACAACCATTTCGAGTTACGCCCATCTTCTGGAACGGATTATGGTTATAAGTCAAGGCACCACAGTATAAATCTGACTAGAAAAAACAATATTGCTGGGAGAAGGGTGGAGGGCAGTAAGAAGAGAGGAAGATCTAACATGAAATGGGTTGACTCAACAAAGAAAATCACAGCTGTTAATTTATAATACCATAGCAGAATTTACTGGAAAATACAATATTGCGAAATCACAGCTGTTAATTTGGAATGCCATAGCAGAATTTACTAGAAAATACAATATTGCTGAAGGGATAGCAGTAGAAAGAGAGAACAACCTAACATGAGATGGGGTATCAGTAGAAAGAGAGAACAACCTAACATGAGATGCTGTTGGTTTACAAGGCTTGAGCAGAGCTGTTAATGATAAGACACTTGAGAGGTCATTAACTTGTATAGTCACCACAAGGGACATGATAGCACATAACATCTTTCATTTAAAAAAACAAAACAAAACAATTGTATAGTGGCAAGTCAAGAATAACCTATGACTGGATATAGGCACAAAAGCTCTGCTAACATTGAATATTTCTGTGAGAGGATGAAGAAGAGCACCCCCACCCACAAAAGCAAAACAAAAAACAAAACCAGTAATTTCACAGCTTAAACGACTGATCTTTTGAAGATTTGTTCTTTATTCTTTTTAGCAAATCTTTAAAATATTTTTACAACCAGACAGAATCCTTTTGCAAGCATGAATTCCTGTTTGGCCGGGAAGAAGTTAAAAATTAAATTGGGGTCTGACTGATAAGTTCAAAAGTTCAAATTGCCCCAGATCTGTTGCTGATTTTCACTTTAAAGCTTACATCAGGAACCTGGTTCAGAAATCTTAAGAATGTTTACTGAAACCACTCAGGGCTTGGACAAATCCAACTGCTCTGTCCTTTTGTAATGGACAAATACTTTGAATGTGTCTTTAAAAATTGTGTGTTAATTCCCTGAAGATACATGGCGAAATGTCCCCCTTTCTGGAGGACTGTTACTCCATTACTTTCTTTAAAGCAAGTCTGTTTTTATTTACTCTCCAAAGAAAGCTTGCACTTTTTTACTTTTTTTCTGTTACCTTTAATTATCCTAAGGTTTCTTTAAAGCAAGTCTATTTTTATTGACTCTCCAAAGAAAGCTTGCACGTTTTTTCTTTTTTTTCTGTTACCTTTAATTATCCTAAGTTATCCAAATATCACCCTTCTGCGCCCTTGAAGCTGAAACAATGTATCTACTTTGCAAAGTTCTTGCAGGCAAAATTGCTCAATGCATGCTCAGTGTGATAAAAATCAGTTTCTCCATTTTGAAAGGGCTTTTTTGAGGATCAATATTTGAACCCCTACAGCCTGAATGTTGACAACACTCATGTCAGCAGCTAAGTTGGTCTACAGCTGTGATTCCCAGCCTTGGGTGACCCAGGTGTTTTTGGGCTGCAACTCCCAGAAATCCCAGCCAGCTAGTGGTGAAGGCTTCTGGGAATTGCAGTCCAGGAACACCTGGGTTACCCAAGATGAGAACCACTGGTCTGTAGAATAGCCTGTTGTGCTCACTACCATTCACAAAAAGACACCAAGCAGGTGAAAATTCCAGAACTTGACTCCTTTTTTAATCAGGTTGCCCGTTGCTATGTAAAGTTTGGCATACTTTTTCTTGCCAGCAGTGGGGGCACCTTGTGAAGCAACACTGGGCTATTCCCTGGCCTCTTGAATTGTGGATACAGAAGCACTATATCCCACATTCATAAATAGGAGGGTTTTTTTTTGAAGGATTGAATTACTCTCTTTCCTTATGATTTTCTGTGGGATCTCAAGGAAACTCTGAGCTTTCTGTAGAGCTAAATAATTTAAGCATATGCTTTTCTTAGCAATCCAGTATTAGAGCAATTCTGTTGTTGCTTTGTAACGTGTCCAGAGACTGAGCTGGAGGAGTATTATTACATCCTCCCCAGTCACAACTTAAAAAAATTAGACTGTGCAAAGTTTGCTGCACTATAAATGTATCGACATCAATTTCTCATTAAAGATTGCTTCATGTAACGTCAGTCAATCGATCCAGCATCAGTTAAGAAGAAGAAAAAGATGTGGGCTTGACACTGTCTGACAGAAGGAGCGCACAGTTCTCTGAGATTAGTAGTTTGAATAAAAACTCGCCAGATGGGAACTGTGCTCATTTTATCCTCTGGGTTTCTGCAAAAGCATTCATTTAGGATCCAGCGGAAATATTGCCAGCTAGGGGTAACTTCGTCATGACTAATGGCCAATCGCTGACCAGTGAGGGGAGGAAGAGCTTTTGAGTAAGAGGCTCTGAAAGCGGGTTTAAAATATTAAGTCAGAAAAGCAGGTTTCTGACAATGATCACTGTGGTAAATGCAAGGCTGTGGCGATGCAGCTGACTCAATGTTTAAACCAGGATATATTCACACGGCAGGAGGTTACTGGACTGAAGGATTGTGGAGCAGTGCTTGCCACAGAATGCCTTATTTGGCTAAACTAATTTTCTTGATCTTTTGTTTGGCCCTTCTGGGGGAAAGCAGAAAACACAGGAGGAAGAGATGGACAGGACAAGAGGAAGTGCAGAAAGCAAGGTAAGAAAGGAACTGTAAATAATAAATAAACAAACTACTCTGTCTCTCTTCAGTCACTATGGATTTCTAGAAGAATAAACTAAATACATGGAGTTTTGCAAGGGGGGTATACATTGATGTATGGTGTGCCTGAAAAGTACATTCAGGTGGGTGATGTGAGAAACAGCTGAGACGGTAGTTCTCGAGGTCATCTTTCATTGCTGTTTTTCTTGATTTCAGAGCTATTGTAACAGATGGTGTTCCTAAGGGCTTTTAAAGATAACCTGATCTGAGTGATTCTCAGAACTGGGTCTGGAACACTGGACAGAGGCGTTGCTGCTCACTTACTCTGAATGAACTCTGAAACAGGACTACTTGAGTCAGTGGGGTTGGTTTTCTCTATGACCAATAACTAGGAGGTCAGAAGGCATGAAACATGGATTCACAAAGTATATTCTTTGTCAGTTGCAATTTGAGAATGTGCAAGGCTACTTGCAATGAAGTAATACTTAGTTCAGCAGGGTTTGTCCCCAAATAAATGTATAAAGGAGTTTCTTTTTTGTTTGTTTTGTTGATGAACATCTATTTTTGTGTGCCTACACTTGATACGGACTTTTTTGTGTGAATGTGTTTACAAAAAATTTGCCCCCTTCGTGCATTTGCTAACCTTTCAGAAATATTGGCAAAAAAAGCATGTTCCAGGCAGCTGAAAGGTCTTAGTAAAGTTGATTAGATTTCATGTTGCAGAGGCAGGTTAATGTTAGAAAAATATAATCTTTGCAAAATTGCCAGGAAGCCTGAGTCCATTTTTGTGCTAAGTTATGTCATCCTGCGAGAACTGCATCTTATAAAGACCGTTTGCCTGGCTATGACCTTGCAAACAAAGACGGATTAATCCATTTTATTAAATGAAAATGCTCTGACCTTTATCTTTTTATTAGTTGTGTTTTCTTCGGCATGATACTTTGAAGCCGAAGCACTGATGGCAGAATTTTGACTGTCACGAGTAATCTTTGATAAATAAGTATTCCAGGCAAATCGATAGCAGTCCAAAGACAAGTGAGTGAAACTTTTATTGGATCCCTTAAAAAAAAAAGATAGCTTTCAACATAGATCTGTCTCCCTCTGGCTGTGCATCCAAATATTATGGACTGTGCATATATATGAGAGTCCCTGGCAGCCATCTGTGCCCCTCTGTTTTTCAAAAATGGATCCAAAAGTGTGACTCAAGTAGCATGGAGGCTGGGTTGGGTGTCGAAGTTTCAAACTCCAGCCCTGTTAGCTATTGGTTGGATTTCCTCTCCCAACAAAGGGCCACTTCTGTTTAACATACAAACAGATGCTCAGCTTTATAGTTTTATTGTTTGTGGACTTTGTACTTGAGGTGATTGTTGCCTTTGTCTCACTGCATAAGAGATGCATAGTGGATGAGATTATTGTTTTTAATTGGACCAAGGTTGCTGGTAAACGGTTCATTTCTCTTCCATCAGCAAAGCTAGTTCACATCAGCTCACTGGCCTTATTCTCTTGCACTGCTCGGTAATCGGAAATCACACATTTGGGTCGGTTAGATACCAGTTTGTTATACTGTGGAATGTGAAGAGTCGCTTGGACTGATTCCTACAAATGATTTTTCGTTTCATGGAAAAATAGCTTTAGTAACAACTGATGCCTTACCTAGACACCTGCCTACAATTCCGTGTGGCTACTGCATTCTAAACGCAGCATTTCCCCACACGTTTGATTGACCATACCCTAATTTTGATTGTTTATCATAAATTTCCTTTTTTATAATTATGCACTATATATGCATAAATAGAAAAATATGCCCAATTTCTTGGAAGGGTTATTTGCCGGGGTGGATACTTTGTTAGGCACAGTCCATCCAATGAACAAATTATTTGGGGCATATGATATTGAAATTGTAATGGCCCAAAAAGTAATTTTTTAGAATTAGACAAAATTACTGTTTTGGACTATAATTTTCAAAAATCTCTCAAGCAGCATGGCAATTGACTATGCTGGCTGGGAGATTCCGGGAGCTTTAATAAAAAAACTAACTTTTCTACACTCTGGAAATAAACTCTACTGAACAAAATGGGACTTCAGCGTAACAATATCTAGGCTTTTGCTTTTAAAAGAGAATGCAGTTCCAACAAAGTTAACAACTTCCTAAATCTCCCTATCAGCATAAGTGTTTCTATTTCAAAAAAGTAATGTTTCCACGTTCTGGGTATGTACAATTTTTGGCTGGCACTGCTTATTGATTACTCACATGCAAGTGAAAGGCCCTAGATTAGTTGTAGAGCATGTGATTTCCATGCAGAAGCTACCAAGTTTCAATTCCTAGCATCATTACTTTTAAAAATCAGATAGCAGATGATGGAAAGTCAGCTTCCTGAGAGCTACGGTCAGCCATATTAAAGTAGATGGATACTTGTCCAGTCTGACTGAGGGGCAAAATAGTGACTTTGCTTATGACATTTTTAGCACAAATATACCTTGATGAGAAAAAAAGCTTATTATGAGAAATGTCTCTCATAAGGTGCTTTTTCTCATGAAGGTATATTTCATTTAGTATGTTTTGTTTTGAGATTGGTCACTTGAAGACAAAAATTAGTTTAATTTACAAGTCTGATGAAGTGTGCATCTCTGAGGAAATTCTACTCTGGAAGGGGAAACGTGTTAATCAGAGGAACTACATATTCCCTACAATGTCTAATTTGCCCCTTAGGTTAAAGCAGCTGAGCTTTCAGCTATGTACTTACTTTATGTTTGCTGATCCTGGTCGAAAGCTGCACAATTTGTTTATGTTGTCAAGGAAGCTATGTTTTGGTTAGTGCAGTATCTGAATTACATCACCTACAAATTCACGATGCATTAATATGTAAAACATTTAGTATCTGTTCTACTGTGCTGTATGATTTGTATCAATTAATATTGAATAATCGATACAAATCAATTAATGCAAAATGTGACAGCCAGACTTCTTACAGGGGTGAAAAGATACCAACATATTTTCCCCACGCTGGCCGCCTTGCATTGGTTGCCCATTCATTTCCCCGTTGATTTCAAAGTTCTTACGATGACACATAAAGCCTCCTCCCACCCAGTTCTGCCAGAGTCACTTGTTCCAGTCAGGCCAGGCAGCTGAGGGACCTAATGCCGAGGGAGGAGAGAACGAGGAACAGGACCTTCTCGGCAGTGGCCCCTCCCCTTTGGAACAACTTGCCGGTGGAGATTCGCCTGGGTCCCTCTCTGGATGTTTTCAGGAATAAACTTAAAATGTGGCTGTTTGGGCAGGCTTTCCCCCCTGTCATATCTTAATTTCTTATACTTTGCCATCTTGGACCTATAATAAATGTTTTTGGTTTTATTGTTTTTAAATTTGTAAACCGGCCAGAGTAGACCTTGGGTCTAGAATCCCCAGATGGCAGACCCGATTAATTGGAGATTCGTTTTTAATCTGATATCAAAGTGCGTTAATCGATTAACACTTACTTCACTAGTAAAGAATGATATTATTTCACACAATGGTGGACTTCATAAACCCGTACTTTTTTCCAGGCTTCCTGTATGTACTGGGCCACCTAAGCTGTGACATTCCAAATGTTCTTCTTTTAAGCTTGTTTTATGGTGTGACCTGCTCCTCCTTGCAGTGGGGTACAGGAGTGGCATAAACAAGATTACTGTGGAGTCTATCTCAGAGATTGTTTCAGTCTTTAGCTCCAAAAGATCCCTTTTTTAATCTCCTCACTGATTTTGTAAACACTTCAGAACCTTAACTATATATAAAACCAGTTCACAAACCCTAGATATTTTAATCATATTTTTATTGTATACTGTTGGATGACAAATGTGACTGTATACTAGTAATGATGCACTACCAAATCAAAATATCAGTTCACTTGAACAGTCTGCTCTTGTACTAAGTACTAATTAAGCATACTTACCATCAGCTGGTACACATGGTGAGAAAATAGTAGCATTTCTATGTACAAGGAGCAAATGCATTTTTGAGCTTTCATATGTGCCTTGTAATCATGGAAACGAAAGGAGCTTAATGCTGAGCACTGAGATTAATTACAGCTGAGGCATTTAAATGTCTCAAGGAGGAATGAGATGTGTCATATTGTGTAATCAAATAATTGGCTGGTAAATGAAAGTACCAGCTCTTCCTCAGCCTTTTGTATTTCTCATATCCATCTTTAGTTAAAAACATTTCCCATCTATCTATCTATCTATCTATCTATCTATCTATCTATCTATCTATCTATCTATCTATCTATCTATCTATCTATCTATCTATCTATCTATCTATCTATCTATCTATCTATCTATCTAT